CAAGATGGGCCTCCATCCCCCATTCTTCTTGGGGGTGAGGAAATTTCGATAATAAAACCCTTTTCTCTGGAATTCCCTAGGTTCTCTTTCTATAGCTCCGATGGCGAGCAAGCGATGGACCTCTTGCTTCAACAGGTTCTCGTGAGAAGGGTCCCTGAAAGGGGACGGGATGGGTGGGATGGTTGGGGGAATAGAAATAAAGGGGATGGTGAGACCAGAAGCTATGATTTCTAACACCCACTTGTCCGAGGTGACCCTGGCCCAATGGTGGTAATATGGCCTTAGACGATGGTGAAAAAGGCATGAGGTAGGAGCTTTGTTCACATCCTCGACTAACAGTCAAATTTGCTGTTTTGCAGAAGGCTGGTTAGAGGAATGGGTGGGCTGTTGTCGTTTCCACTTAGGACGCTGCAGGAATCATTGATGTTCCAGAGTGCGAGGTTGTTGTCTGTGGAAGAAGAAATCAGACCTTCGTTAGTAAGTATAATAGCGCTTTTGCCTGTAGAGGAGGTGTATACATCCCTAGTGTGCAAAGCGTAGTTCGGGAATCCTTCCCTGAGTGCAGGACCTCATCTGTCTTGCTAGCGAAAAGTTTCTGCTTGTTGAAAGGTAAGCCCTTAACTTTATTCTGGAGTTCTTTTGGGATTGCTGCTGCTAAGAGCCATGAGGATCTTCTCATTGCGACCCCTGTAGCGGTGGCTCGTGCAGCAGTGTCCACCACATACAGAGCGATCTGCAGTGAGGCTCTACATGAAGCATATCCCTCTTGTACTATGGATTTGAGCAGTGGTCTTTTTGAGTCAGGAAGATGTTGTAAGAGGTCTGCCAATTTCGAATAATTGTAGAAGTTGTGGTTGGAGAGGAGAGTGGAATAGTTCGCGATACACAGTAGTAATGTATCTGAGGAGTAGACTTTCCTCCCAAAGATATCTAACTTTTTATTATCTTTTTCTTGGGGGGTATTTCTGTATTGCAGTACTCTTGATTTATGTTGCACTGCGTCGACCATCACCGAGTTAGGTTGGGAGTGATTAAACAAAAAATCTAATCTCTTACAAGGGACAAAATACTTTCTATCCACCCTCTTACTCTTTGGAGGAACGGATGCTGGAGTTTGCCATATTTACCCCGCGACCTCCATGAGCGCCTCGTCGATGGGAAAGCGTGATCTTACCTTGGTGTTGTGGGTGTAGGTTCTTCAACAGGCGGTGTTGTTTAGTTTGAATGTCTCCTAACTGCACCACCTGACTATCTGCGAACCACCTGAAGAGGTCCTGGAATTGTTTCAGGTCATCTGGTGGAGAAACATCACCCGGAATCACCGCTTCATCTGGTGAAGATGATGAGTGATCTGTTGGCGATGTGTCCTGCTGAGGGTCCTCTGGATCAGACAACTGTCCCTCTTCAGGCTCTGACTGTTCCATCTGGATCACTGGACTCTTTGGAGGAGGAGGCAGTGAATGTCGGTGCTGTGGTTCTGGAGGTAAGGATCGAGAGTTGGATGACAGACAGCAACATGTGTGTCTCCTGTAGGAACTGGATGTATGATCATGACAAGGAGGGTCATAATACTTCTTATGGTAACAACCATAATATCTTTCTGAGTGTGTCGGGGATGAGTGTCGAGAAGATAAGACATTGCTATGCCTTATATAGTAGTAACGCCTTGGTGACTGAACAGGCGATCATGAATGATGTAGTGAACACCGTGGCGATGGGGAGTGTGATATAGATAGTCTCCTCTCCCTGTGTCTTGTTTCCCTATAGCAAGAATGACCAGGAGACGATGGGCTACCTTGTAGCACCCAATTGTGCCCATGGTGTAGCTGCATTGGTAGGGAGGGGGATGACCCCGGGGAGAAAGTTGGGGAAGGAGAAACAAGCCCTGGGTGTGAGGTAGTCTTCTCAAGGGCTTTCTCTGTTGCCGCTATAATATTATCCTCACCGGTACCGGAGAGTGCGGTGCCGAGTGCTTTTGTAGTGGTGCTGGCAAGGTTGTGCTCTGCACCGTGGGTGGTGCCGCCGGTGCTATAGGCAGTGAAGCTGTTTCTACTGCTGGTGCCGACATGCTCGGTGCCGCTGATGCCTCCTTTGTTGTTTTCCCCCGTGCCGAAGGCACTGGTGCCAATAGCATTCTTGGTGCTGCGGATGGCGGTTTTTTCCCATTAGTTCCTGGCATTCACTGAGATCCTAGGGCGGGTGTCCCTGATTCGCTCGGTCTGTCTTTTGAGCCTCCTCTGGTGTTAAGAGCCACTGGGAAGGATCAAGTTGGGGTTGCCCTTGACTTTTTTGAAGCAGAAGTCTCTGGGGAAGCCGCTCTGCATTTGTGTGTGTGCTGCGCAGAAGGGGCAGGCACGTCCGTAGGTTGCAATGCTTTATCAAACATAAGCATTTTTAACTGTATTTCTCAGTCTTTACAAGTTCTGGAGGTCATTTTGCAACAAAGCTGGCATCTTTGTGGTATGTGCGCTTCCCTTAGGCACCTGATACATGCCCGTGCCCGTCTGATGCTGGCCTGGCTTCACAGCAGAACGTACAATTTTTAAAGCCTGGGGAACCAGGCATTGTGTCAGAGATCTTTTGTCTCTTCTTTTCTGGCTTTTTTTTTTTTTTAAAGTGATTAACGAAGACGAATGAGTACTAGTTCACCTCTTAACTATATATGTATATGCGTTAAATATTTCCTTTCTTTTTTTTTTTTTTTAAACAAGAACTATGAACAAAAACAAACTAAGAATAACTACTAACTTGCAATGATATCAACTATTTACAGAGTACACTGAGGAGAAACACTAAGGAGAAGATGGAGCTCTGTCCGTGACCAAGGGCGGTTGGAAGGAACTGAGCGGGGCCGGACCGCGTGCAACAAATGAAAGGCGCAATCGGCGAGAGCCGCTGCTCACGCATGCACAGTCTGGTGGAGCACGGCTATGCAAATCTCCAATCCGCAGTGCCAGGACAAGCCCAATACGATGAGTGGAGCACCCCCTGGGACCACTCGAAGAAGAACTAATGAATCTGAGTCTCAGAGGGATAGCCGGATTAGTCTGTAACTAAAAAAAACTTAAATAACAATGGTACTGTACACCTTAGGCTATGTCTACACAGCAACATTTTGAAATAATCTACATAGCCAGCAGTTATTTCAACCAAAACTTGAAACAAGCTATTTCAAAATAAGCTATGCAATTGACGTAGCTCAATTTGCGTACCTTATTTCGAGTTAAGCCATGCTCTGTAGATGCGCCACCCTAAGAGACTAACAAAAATATATAAATAGTATCATGAGTTTTTATGGGCACAACCCACTTCTTCAGATGACAAATATGAAGCAAGGCTCTGGATTGCTCTGATGGATGTGAGCAATCCTGCTGGCTTTTTCAGCTATAAGACAACCATTCTTGTAACTCAGCATAACCTGTTTTCTATTTAAGCTTTGGTTACTAGAAAAAAAATTGTGGTACACTTTAGGGTAGGCATATGTCACATGCACACTTAGCAGAATGGGGTCCTAATCCCTGATTATTGCCTCTAGGTGCTCCTACAGTACTGACATCACAACATATATGAGAGGCCACAAAAGGAAAAGAGGGAATACCTCTCTTCTCTGCCAAAATGGTTAAACATGCTCAGGAACAAAATTTCAAAACAAGCATTTTAAAAGGTCTCTGCAAACAGCACTTAGAGAAAGACTAGAAATTAAGTCATTTGAGGCACATCTCCATTTGGTTTAACATCAAGAATATTCTAACAATCAAATCTCTGTAAGTTGTAAATAGAAATTATTTCCACCTGTGATAGTTATGTCACAAACAGACTCATGGTGTATTTCCTCAATTCAGCAAAGCATTTATTCATGAACTTAAGTTCCACTGACATCAATTTATAACACAGTCCTTTTGCTGAATCAAGGTCTAAGTTCATAAATGACTATCAGAGTAGAATTCTCAACGTGGCTGTTTTATCAACTATTCTCCCCAAAATAATGTGCACATTATCTTAGGTGTGTGCACAAACACCAAGCATGGTAAACTCCTTGTTCTCACTTACGTTGCAAGGGTATTAAGCTTTTTTGGCCCTATCTATGC